GGAGCAGCGGTTCTACTCTGAGCTCCTCCCGGGTGACCGAGCTCCTCACCCTATCTCTAAGGGTGCGCCCGGCCGCCCTGCGGAGAAAGCTCATTTCGGCCGCCTGTATCCAGGATCTTGCCCTTTCGGTCATGACCCAAAGTTCATGACCATAGCAGCAGCTGGTGATGGAGTTTATTTTAATGACTTTATGAGGAATTTATACAATTTCCGTAGGAATAAAATAGTGCTTAATCTATAATAATACAACATGGCATCATTTATTTGTTGATTATAATCTGTAATATTTAGTAACTGCAGCAGTTTGAATGTAATAGAGTAAAACATACGATATATAGCATCAATAAATACAAATACTCCAGTACCATAAACTACCGATGCTTCAAAAGTTTACTTAAGTAATCCTGTAATCCTGTTCAAGGTAAATTTCCATGACGTCGTGTGGAGGAGGATGACCTCTGACCCATACTGACACTTAAAGGAGGGGTGGCTGTGGCTCACGAGGTAGGGCAGTCGTCTCCTAACCAGCAAGTTGGTGGTTTGACTCCCGGTTTCCCCGCATGCCTAAGTGTCCCTGAGCAAGACACTGAACCTCGAATTGCTCCCGGTGGCTTGACTAGCGCCGGTGCATGGCAGCCTGTCGTCATCGGTGTGTGAATGGGTGAATGGTGTATGATCTCCTGTAAAGCGTTTTGGCCAGTGCAACACAGAAAGCGCTATATAAAATACAGTCCTTTTACCATTTAAGTGCTTAGTGTTTAAGAAAATGTACTGGGTTACTTTCTAGCACTGGTAATGAGTACCAACTGCATCATCTGTCTGTGCTAAATTTACATCAATAGATATTGATATGGTATCTATCAGTGACATGCAGACGACCATGTGCTGGTGGCAGATGAGTATGATGCAGTTTAGGAAGGTGTTGGTGGTTTATTAAATTAGCATACTGCATAGCAGGTAGATTTCAAGGAGTAGAATCAATAGCCCCGTTAATCTGTTGCATACAGCCGCATAAATGTATGATGCATAACATGTTAATGTTGGTTTGAATTCAGTCCGTGTTTGTTTGGATACATTTCCTGTTTCCATTGTTAACTCAGTTTTCATTATAAGGTTCAAGGGGAAAAACTGCTCTGTGGATATCGACCTATGCTCATTTAGAATGTGCAGTGAACATGCATTAATATGCGCTGAGACCAAGGATGGACAGAATGTTTCTTGCACATGTGAAAGAGGTGAACAAGACCTTTAACGGGTGTTAAATTAGTCATGCAGATATATTAACTGGAGGAAAATGAGCACATGGTGAGACTGAGAACTCATGTATTTTCTCATGCTTTCTGCTCTACACAACGTTAACTAGATTATAAGGAGCAGTACAGTACATCCTGACCTTAGCTATTGTTCGCTGTCTCGGAATCATTGTGCTGAATTATGCATATTAAATAGACGATTCCTGCAAAACCTAAATTTTAAGTGTGTCAATCAAATCGCTCCGATTCCTTTCCATGAACATGACAGCGTGATCACAGCAGTAGCTGCCAGCAGTGACAGGGATATCACAAGATTAAGTGGAGGAGTGTTGACCCGTTATGCAATCTGAGGCTTGCTTGGGTAACAAGGCTTCGGAATTTTGCACGTCAAGACTATGTGTCCCATAAGTGACACTATTTTACTGTGTGCACATACACAGGTATTTCTGGATACCGTGCTTTAAATAAACGTTTTGCCTGTCAAACCAGTCATGTATGTTGACAGCAAGCTCAACACCAGCTCTTCTGTCTTTTTTCAAATGAATGGCTATTATATAGGAGTTCATGTAACCCAATCAATAACTGTGACTTCATTACTCCTGTAGCACTCATGCTAGACAGATGTCAAAGTGAAGGATTGTGAGCGATTTCTTATGTAAATGAAATCAACCAGCAGAGAGCCGCTCTCTCAAGATCACTTCTGAAGGGCAAACCGTGAGATGCTGTCTTGCTTGATGTTGCAGGTCGACAGTCTTGGTACACATATTATCTTATGCCTACCAGCGTAATGTGTTGGACAACATGTGATGCATACCCTCCCTCACTCTAACCTACAACTCACAATGGTGCATTTTTGCATGATTTAAATGTACCAGTTGTTTTGAGGGGGGAAAAAGGGAAATGCAGAAATGCAGTACTGGCTTGTTTGGAAAGTTTTACCTAGATTATTGGGTTATTCATTTCTCCTGAAGAGGAGCTTTTGCAAAGCAATAATTGTTTTTACAATAAATAATTTGAGAGTATCAAGTTTTATATTACCATTTATTTCAGAGGAACAACTTTGTAGTGCAAGACTTACTTTTGCCATACATTTATTTCAGCGCAAAAAACAGTTTCATCAAAAGCCCTTCTTGGCAAGAGGCAATCTTTGTCATCCATCAGGTTTTTCACAATGCAGCAGTTGATTTTGCTTTGTTTTGTATAAGGCTACAGTTTTATTTTAGATGAAATTGCCTGTTCTGCGGTAGAACAGCTTCCGTGACTGTTCTTTTTATATTAGTTTTTCCACATACTTAATTGTGAAGAGCATCTCAGGAACCTCGTGCTCTGTTTAGTCCTTGGCTGATTGTGTGAACCCACAACAATCCTCTATGGTAAAGTGTGAGGTTAACCCACATACAGTACAACCTTAAACACTGGCTGTTCGTCTCTTTAATGGGAGAGGGCATTTACACTTGTGCAGTGATGCATGTTATTTGGTTCACATTGTTCCCTTTTGTGTATAGATTGACTTTGGTCTTAAAAATCATTGAATTTGTCTTGTTTAATGTAATACATCAGAAGGGCAATGACTTACTCTTATTAAACATGATTAAATGATCCAGTGAGCTGAGTCTGAATGTGCCCAACAAGCTCTTTGAATCAGTACAAGCTTTGAAAACCAGCTTTTGTTTGTGAAAACAAAGTAATGCTGGTCTGAATTGGCCAAGAAATGAAACCAGGCAAAAGGAATCCAGTAACAATTTTTTCTTTTTTAACATGTGCTGCAGGGTTTGGAGGGTCAGCTTGCGAAGTAAATCTCAATGAGTGTGAGTCAGAGCCATGCCAGAACAGTGGTATTTGTGTGGATGGCATCGACCTGTATCAGTGTTTCTGCTCAGAGGGTAAGTTGCAATGTAATTAGAGCACCCAATAGTTGAGATGATACGATTATGTACTTATTCCAAGTCCTTATTAGTTTTAACTGCAACAAAGCAGTTTCAACTCTGGAGTTATAACAGGGTCTTAAATAAAAAAGGGGCATTCAGAAACACGTTTACATTAATTGTTTTGCCATTCTGTTGTTCCATTGTCTTTTTCCTGTGAATAAATAATCAAATGCAGATGAAAAAAATGCTTGAATTATTTCTACTACAGCTAAAGATCAGAGAAACAAGCTGATGTTCAACAGCCATACAAGGGAAAACCCAATCTAAGAAAGTGTCCAAGTGACCTATGAATGTAGCCACTAGTAGTAGTTTCTTGCTGGTGGTTCAGTTACATCCATATTTGCAGATAGGATTGTTTTATTTAGCACAGGCTTGGGTCTGAGTTGCATTTTATACTAGCATGTGACATTTTTGTTTTATATTTTGTTATAGATTTTAATCTTTTTTAAAAAAAATTACAAATGTTGATTGAACTACTTTAGTTGACTGAACTAGATTTGTCCCTAGAGTAGCTTTGTTGTAGTTCAGCTTCTTCCAGTGTGAAGTATTTGGTAGCTAGCAAAGCTGTGCTTTCAAAGTAGCTTCCGTAATTAGATGCAGCCTATAAATCCCAGCTACGTTTGAAAATATGTATAAACCTAACCACCTCTCCCATTGCAGGTAATTGAATGCTGGTAGCAAGTTCTATTTTTCTTATGGGATCAATATTTACTATAAAAACAGAGGGTAATTTACTTTATTTTGGTGTCTCCAGCCTCCATTCTACTACTACTACTACTACTACTACTACTACTAATGGCTTGAGTGGCTCGTTTCCTAATTTCTTCCCTCTGCCCAGTCTATCCAACCAGCCCAACCATAGTTTTATAATGAACTTTCTGAAATCCAAAAAGAATTCCCTGCCAGATCTCTGTAATAAGTGACTGTTTTTAGTAATTTCAACTATTATGACAAAAACTTCATCTTCCTCAAAAACCAATTTCTTCAACAATATCCGCTCAAAAACTCATAGATGTACAAACTGGATTTAAAACACATAATTTCCCAGACTACTTCTTCAATATTAACAAATACTTTGTCCAAACCCAGCTGAACAAGTTATTTTCTGCTGATTAGCACCATTTGAACTAAAGGACAAATCTGACAACAAAAGTTGTTTGAGCACATGTTGATTGCTGACCCTTATTCATTATGATTTTCAGTGACACGTTTACAAATGTTTTCCGGCTTGTAATGAAATACCCATAAGACTAACAAATATTTGCGTTACATTTCCCCACACATCACATGAACTCGTTCCGTCAGAAATTGTCATTTGCATCATTTAGAGTAAGAAGGGCTAAGTCTCATGTGTTTTTCCTAATAATTTCTTGGTCTAGTTGATATCTTACCTGTGAGACATCTGATTAAACCTCAATTGAGGGTGAAGCCTGCTATGCATTTTTAATGAAGGCAGGATAATTGTGAAATTTTATGACATGGCCAGAGGTGGAAATTGGTTCCATGGTCAGTTTGAGAAATGATGAGAATTTGACCTGCACCGATGGTGCTGATAGCCAAGCATTAGTCATGGCCCTCCTGTAGCTGCAGTGTGTGACAGTGGTAATGATAGTCATTTTGTAGCATGACCATGTGGTGGAATATATTTATAGGAGACTAAAATGTCAGAAATTGGCAGCACTCACTTTTGTTTTATGACTTTAACCTTTTACATTTAAAATATTAAATGTGCTATTATAATTTTGAATGAATCACCTTAAGAAATGTTAATCGGGTAGACACAGTATGATAAAATACAGTTTATTTTCTCAAATGAAGACTGGCACGGGCTACTCTTCACTGTATGTTCTTGTTTACTTGTGATGAGCTGGCAGTGATAAACTGCTGTATAAAATTTCACTAACACAGTAAATAGCTTTGGGGTGTAATTTGATACTAATTAGTGTATTTTCAAATCTGATGTTTACTGACATTCACACACCATCTCTGATGTATGTTTTTCTTTTGATTTATTTTTTTCTTTTCGTTTCATACCAGGGTTTGGAGGGTTGAACTGTGAAATCAACTATGATGAATGTGTCCATGGATATTGCACCAATAATTCCACATGTATTGACCTGATTACAGACTATGAGTGCATCTGTCCTTCGGGCTTTGCTGGTAAGTTATCTATGTCATCTTTTTTTTTTTTTTTTAAGTTTAGGCTTTTATGAATATAGTGTAGATTGATGGCTCTTCAGCAGTGATAACATCAGTGCTCTTGTCTAGTATAAGACCTCATTCATCTGTTTCAGGATGACGGCAGCTGATTGAGTATTAAGATCTTTTCTTTCTCCTACTGTAGAAACAGTAGTAGCGGTAGTATAATGTATTTAATTATATATTGTTAAACTAGCACAGGGAACTTATATAATTCAAAATGCTAAGCTGTGCATTAGTAATAACATCTCCATTTTTCTCCACTTTTATATCGATGTGTTTATGAATGGGATCATTACTGTGACACCCTAAGTGAACAAAAAATTAGACCAAATCTGTGAGTGCCTTTGGCTGTGGAAAGGGACTGTGACAGACAGGGAAATTACAAAGATACAGCTGTTATACAATAGCAGCGCTCCTGTTGGCTCCACTACTGAACACACACATATTGTGCCTCACATCATGCTATTTCATCACATTAATGGTTGTTACTCTCCCTGCATTTATATTACAGGTGATTGAGATGTGCCCGTATGTTGGTTAGGCTATCATCTTCGTAATTTGTGTTACTCTTTACAGCTCTCTGTTAACAGTCTTTATTTACCTTTCAGGTAAGAATTGCTCTAAATCTGTCTTTGCATGTGTATCACGTGTGGATTTCTGCAAAAATGGAGGAACCTGCTCCCAAAACTTAGCTGGGGATTTGCAGTGTATTTGCCCCCCAGGTATTACACATGTTTATACAGTTATGGTAACAAATTTGTTAAGGTGACATTTTTATTTTGATATATGAATTAAGAGTGGTGTTTGCTCTTTAATAACTGCCTCGTTCATCTAGAATTGTAGACATGATAGTTTGTTCAGAAAAAAATAACAGCTACATAATCAAAATAGCCACAGTGTGTAATGGGTGCTTCCTGCTATCAATCCCTCTTCAACCATTAATGCGCATGGAAATGTACCGGTGTTGCTGATTACTGTGGTATCACCAAAACAGCTTTTAACTCTGCGTAAATACCATTAGAAAGCACATGTACTAATCCATAAACTAATTACAGTTGTTGGAAAAAGCCAGAGTTTCTTTTGTGTAGCTTGTGTACTTGTGCTGAAATTCCTCCCTGGTTTTAGTGCTTTATGCTCTGGCTGGTTAAAATATGTAAATCAGCAGGGAGCATGAAAACACTGGCAATGACAGCATTATGTGTAATCACAGTCCGTGATGTCTGCCAGACGTGGGAAGGTTGGAGCATACTGTAAACTGCACAGGACATCAATCTCTTCTTTGATCCCACCTCTTACAGGATACCACGGCAATGACTGCTCTTCATCTGTGGACCAATGTGTGTCAAATCCTTGTGACCCAGAGGGGACTCACCTCTGTGAAGTGCTGGCAAATACTTACAGATGTGTGTGCCATCATGGGTACGCTGGGCCACACTGCAAGACACCTATAAACCACTGTGTTGACGGCTTGTGTCAGCATGGTTCAGTGTGTGTGGATTTATCAAGGGGGTTCAAGTGCGATTGCCTACCAGGTAGGTTCACCAGCCAGCAGGGGATTGTTTCGAACAGAGGCAATTCCTCAAATGAATCATGTACATAGCAGATACTTTCCCGGTTTGATGCTTTCACTTGTTCAGTTCCTTCTCTGTGGGAGTCTGATCTTTTTGGCCTTAAGCAACAACAACAACTTACACATGAAGTGTGTAAGTCAGAACTCAGTTCATCGGGTTGAGAGCACACATCAAGGCAGTGATAATGCTTTGCCCACTTGGGATCCATGAGTCTTTTGTTGACATTTTATCAAAGTAACCAAAGGAATATACTGTCATTAGATATCATGTCAGTCTCATCGCATATGGCAGGGAATTCCTAATATTTCCTTTAAAAGAGGGAAGTTATAAGTAGTCGATATAATTACATTTCATTGTAAAAGGTGTATTAATTAATTTTTTAATAGCTACCTTCACATTAGACAGTAAATACTTGCTACTTACTGCACCTATAAACATTTTATCGTCTTTAATATACCTCTATTATTTTTGTTTATAACTACAATATGCAATTACTGAATTGCTAAATTGCTATTATTTCATAGTATAAATGCAACATTGCAGTTAACTACCATTTTGTACCAATACTGAAAATTTACGGGCGGCGACAGTGGTGCAGTGGGTAGAGCAGTCGTCTCCCGACCAGAAGGTTGAAGGTTCGAATCTCAGTGCCTGCAGTCAGAGTGTCCTTGGGCAAGACACTGAACCCCCCCGTTGCCCCCAATGGTTAGAGCCATTGAGTTGGTGCCGCAGATGGCTGCCATTGGTTCTGTACCGGAAACAAATTCCTTGTGTGTAACACACTTGGCCAATAAAGGTGATTATCCTTATCCATTTTGTACCAATACTGTAAATTTTATAATTACCTACCAAACTCTTTGTCACCTTACAAGAAGTGAACAGGGTAGCATGTAAGAGTTTAAGTGCTTGTTGGCTGTCATGGTCAATATAAAATGTGAAACTACAGGAGAAAGCAAAGCAATGTTGAGAAGAGCAGAAGACAGAGCCAGTTATTAAAGCCTTAAACTTATGTAACCATGAATCAGTCTGGAATTGCATCATCATGACTTGTTGCAATTAAAAGAAATGTCACTTGCAGCTTTGTCATACAATTCTGTTTTGATGCTTAAAGATGGACGTTGGTCTTCTAAGCAAAATTATTATTAAAAAAAGTTCAAAAGTGTTTACCCTGAATACATACTGTACATGGTTTCTGTATGTTTCTCAGCTTTTCAAGCAATGTAAACATTTTGGGGAATTTAATTTATTTGTGCATTCGAATGAAAAGGAAAGATAAACTTTTCAAATATGTAGATTTGATATTCTCTCTCTAATATTAAGTATTAAGCAATAACTGTATGAGCATTGATTTACTAGGCAGTGCTATTTGAAATTTAGAAATCCTTTTGTCCTCTCTCTGCAGGTTTAACAGGCCAGTTTTGTGAGATCAACATTGATGATTGTGACGAACAGCCGTGCGGAGTCCTCAGTATTTGTAAAGATGCTCTAAATGGCTACAATTGCTTCTGTGCACCGGGCTTTATTGGTATGTGAAAGCTATCTGGAATTTTTTTTCTTTGTTAGTTAAAGTGACATTTTATTCACAGAGGCAACGCGTCAATGCATTGTGCGCCTTTGATATTTTCAGGAAATAACTGTGAGATTGAAGTGAATGAATGTCTCAGCCAGCCTTGTCGAAATGGAGGCTCCTGCATCGATGAGCTCAACTCATTCAACTGCCAGTGTCCTCTTGGAATCACAGGTGTTTTATTTGTTTCTTACCATGGCTGTGTTTGTTTGTACACTGCTCAAACTTCTATATGATGAGTGCGTGTTCTGAGGTGACTTCAGTGCTGTTTGTATCAATGTGCTTCAAGTGGCAGGCTTGAAATCAGAATTTGCTTTGCATGATAATTAAGCACACTGAGCATGCAAATAACTCAAGAAAATGTGAAAATGAATTCCTCAAAATGTAGAGAAAATATTGGTATTACTGTACATAGCACATAACAGTTTTCCTGTAGTATCTCATAAAACAACTTCAAATTCAGGCAAATCAGTTGCTTAGTTTGCTGTGACAATAAAACTTTCCTTAGAGATATACTGTAAATCAAACATAATGACATCAGGATATAATATAATATAATGGATAGAAGCACTTTTATGTGTTTAATTATATTCTGAGTATTAACATATAGTATATCACAATGTGTGTGCCTGCAGGAGTTTAGACCTTGTTATAAATACAGTACATCTCCATGAAATGCAGTACATGTTCAACCAAGCTAGTGTACTATATGGCCGGTGCATACTTGCCTGTCATGTCTCACTCACCATCTGCTTGGCTGCATTAAGTGTAGGTTGCTTCCATTTCAGTCATTTCCATGCCAATCCACTCCTGCACTTGAAGTAACATCGCATACAGTATGACACACAGAGTTTCTTGCAAATTCTACAGTAATTCAGTGCAATTTAATGTATTTGAGTCAGACAACAACAGTTGTCTCAGTACAGTTTACAGTACATACAACACACATTCATAGCACTGTAATATATAATAAGCATTATATATATATACACACACACACACACACCATTTACATACACAACACTATACAGTAATCCAATACTATTCCATATACAATTAAATGTGCCAAAGAATGGGAGAGCATTCATATGGAAGCTACAAGTTAAATGATGTTTACCAATTATTAGGCCCCAAAGAGGGATTTGTCAGGACTAATCTTCACAGCCCCACAATAAGCAGCAGCATTTTCCAGACCTAACCTACCCTGAACATAAAGCATCTCTGATCAAAGAGCCGATACGTGGCTTGACACACAGCATCTGTATTTGCTCAGGTTAAGCAGTGGCTGGTTGTGACTAGTTTTACTCACTTTATTTTTATACAAGCTAATTCTACATAAACTACAGATAACCTATAGTTTTATGGATCATATCTAGAGCTGTGGCTGTAAGGTCTCCGGTGCCTGTTGTGGTGGCAATCCCCGAACCCGGTGGTGGACACCGGAAGGAAGGGATGCTGTCAAGCTGAAGAAGGAGTCCTTTCGAGCCTTGTTGGCTCGTGGGACTCCTGGGTCAGCTGATGGGGAGCGGCAGTGCCACAGGGGC